TGTGTGTGTGTGTGTGTGTGTGTGTGTGTGTGTGTGTGTGTGTTTGTGTGTTTGTGTGTGTGTGTGTGTGTGTGTGTGTGGTAGGGTTACGCGTACACCTTCATCACTGAAGAACAGGCTCGTTACGCCGGAGACATCATCAAAGCGCTAGAGCTGTCTGGATCGGCCGTCCTGCCGGAGCTCGAGCTGCTCTGGACCAACTTCAAGGAGCAGCAGAAAGCTGTAAGAGCTCCTGAGCTTCTGTGCTCGCAGCACTCCACACGTTCAAGACAAGACACTTCCAGCACAATTACACAAATAAAACTGACTTTTTCATCTCACAATTCAGACCTTTATTCATCAAGAACAGGGCTGTCCGAACTCGGTCCTGGAGGGACAAACTTCTGAATGCTCCAACTTGCCTCAACACACCTGACTGGAAGTTTCTATGCCTAGTAAGAGCTTGATTAGCTGGTGCAGGTGTGTTTAATTAGGGTTGGAGCTAAACTCTGCAGGACACTGGCCCTCCAGGACCGAGTTCGGACAGCCCTGATCAAGAACAAAAAAGAATTCAAAAAAATTCAGAAAAAAGATTCAAACTCAGAATTCAGAGGGAAAAAAAAAAATAATTATGAGAATCGGCCGTCCTGCCGGAGCTCGAGCTGCTCTGGACCAACTTCAAGGAGCAGCAGAAAGCTGTAAGAGCTCCTGAGCTTCTGTGCTCGCAGCACTCCACACGTTCAAGACAAGACACTTCCAGCACAATTACACAAATAAAACTGACTTTTTCATCTCACAATTCAGACCTTTATTCATCAAGAACAGGGCTGTCCGAACTCGGTCCTGGAGGGACAAACTTCTGAATTCAGAAATCTGACTCTTTTCTCACAATTATGAGTTTATATCTCACAGTTGGACTTTTCACAGAATTGGTTTTCTCTTTTCTCAAAAGTTTTTATGTTTGTTTTTCAGAAATGTGATGGAAAACAAATATGAGTGGGGGAGGGGGGGGGTCTGAATTGTGTGAGAAAAAGTCTCAAAAGGCACAATTACATTTTTTTTTAAACCCTGTGGTGGAAACAAGCTTCCATAGAAGACACCATACTTCCACAGTTACTTCATCACAGTACATTAAGACATAAAAATGAGCTCTGTATTCTGAAATGTTATGTTTGAGTATGCTAATGTGACATCATCGAAGTAAATATGCACTCATTTGCATACATTTCCAGAACAGAAATCTGAGCTTTGGATAAAGTCAGGTTCATAATTCTCATTTGATTTTGTGGAGTTAAAGGTTTTTCCAGAGATTTTGGATTTCTCTTTTTATCACTCCATAAATCAGAGAAGACCGAAAACAAACACACTTCACTATGTTTTTAGGAGTAAGATGTTGTATAAATCAGTGTTAATGAAATATGAACAAGCCTTCAGAACATAGAAAGGAATAAAACCATAAAGAGAAAAATCTCTTTAAAGATAAGGATTGTAATTGAAATCTACAGACACAAACAGATAAAGCATGTGTATCGTGTATATGTGCCGTGGGTGTTTGGTGATCATGTGTTGGGTTTCTCCGCAGGAGGGGAAGAGCATCAAGAGCAGCAGTGGATTCTCCGGGAAGGGCTTTAAGTTTGACGAGACGGAGCACGTGCTGGCTAACGAGCGGAAGAAGCTGCAGAAGGCTGCGTTAGGTCTGCACGACTCTGACGACGAGGATGCGGCTCTGGACGTGAGTTCATCTCATCAGCTCATATAACCCTGATCAGAGAAGCTTTATTCAGACTGATATAGTGACAGTGAGTGTGTGTAACAGCTGATGTCTGGTGCGTCTGCAGATCGACGAGCAGATCGAGAGCATGTTTAACTCTAAGAAGCGTGTGAAGGATCTCTCTGCTCCGGGCGGCGCTGCGGGAGCGTCTGCGGTCAGTATGAGCGGATCTCTGACCTCTGTGTCCGGTCTGAGTGGCCCGAGCGCTCCGTCCGCCGGGAACATCCAGAAACTGGAGATCGCTAAGAAACTGGCCCTCAAGATCCAGGCGCAGAAGAACCTCGGCGCAGAGGCACAGGTCAGACACGCTTTCAGCTTTAGCTTTCACATAAAGCTTCTAATAAACAAATAGCAGATGACTTTGTGTTACAACAAATCATAAGTGTCCCTGCAGCACAAAAGCAGTGTTAAGTCGCTGGGGGATATTTGTAGCAATAGCCAACAATACATTGTATGGGTCACAATTATACATTTCTCTTTTATGCCAAAAATCATTAGGATATTAAGTAAAGATCATGTTCCATGAAGATATTTTGTAAATCTCCTACCGTAAATATATCAGAACTTAATGTTTGATTAGTAATATGCATTGCTAAGAACTTCATTTGGACAACTTTAAAGATGATTTTCTCAATATTTAGATTTTTTTGCACCCTCAGATTCCAGATTTTCAAATATTGTCCGATCCTAACAAACCTTACATCAATGGAAAGCTTATTTATTCCGCTTTCAGATGATGCATAAATCTCAATTTAAAAGAATTGACCCTTATGACTGGTTTTGTGCTCGAGTCACGTATATCGCACTGTCTGCTGATATTAATGGTCCGGTGTTTGATCTCAGGATGTGATGCAGCAGGCCACAAACGCTATCCTGCGCGGCGGGACGATGATCGCGCCCTCTGTCTCGGCTAAGACCATCGCGGAGCAGCAGGCGGAGAAGATCAACGCTAAACTGAACTACACTCCGGTGGAGAAGCTGGAGGAGGAGCGGCAGGCCGCCGAGGCCACGGACACCGTCAAGAGATACGAGGAGGAGCTGGAGATCAACGACTTCCCTCAGGTCTCAGAACGCATCTGAAATTACAGCCACACTCTACAACACGCTTCCGTCTGTTCACATGAAATAACAATCTGAAGCATTCAGCTTAATCTTAATTCATATTCAAATATTATTCTATTCTATTATTATTATGACGAATATTATTTAACTCTCATAATGCATTCAGAATCTGTATGCTATTTTCTATGCTATGTCGTTATGTTATAAAATAGTCATAACTTAATATTTTCCAGCTTAAGGGCGTGTTTATACGACACCGCTTTCCACTAAATACTTTATGCGTTTATTTACACAACCGTGGATCTGTGTGTATAGATTTTATTCTGAGAACTGTTTTTAGTACATCGTTGTTGTGTAAATGAAGCCTAAAACCATACTGTATCTGATCAGCAACTTCTCATTAATGAGGGAATATCAAAACCTTTCGAACGTTACCATGTTATTATCATGTTATTGCTGCATTTACCCCTTTTTATCCGTTTAAAAAAAGATACATTTTTAGAAATTTCACATGAACCACACCAAAAATACTAGGATGCAGAGATTATACACAGACGCGCACACATATATATATATATATATATGACATGAAGCATATTCTCAGACAGTTTGCAGACGCTGCTTACACTCATCACTCTTACCATCATTCCTGTTCTTTTTGTCACTTTAACTTCGTGAAAGCCTGTCACTGATGTATTCTCAGCGCGTGTGCCTGTGTGTGTCTCTGTGCGTGGTGTGTGTGGGTTTGTGAGTGCATATTTGTGTGCATGCGAGTGTGCATGCGAGTGTGCATGCGTGTGCAAGTGTGTGTGTGTGTATGTGTGTGTGTGTTTTCTGACAGCTGACAGTGTTTGTTTTGCAGACGGCGAGATGTCACATTATTTTTCTGATTCTTTAGAATTATATTGTCTATTCTGAGGGTCTTGTGTTTTGAGTTTCATTCCCTTACTAAAAAATATGCACGTGATTTTTTTTTTTATAGATCTCTTCTTGGAAACAGACTAAATGTGTTATGATGAGGGTTAATGAACCTGAGCTGACATGAACTACTAATGCTAGCAAAGGCTAATAAATGCTGTCAACAGATGTATTGTTCATTGTTAGCTAGTTTTAATAGTATTTGTTATACTTGTATTTTTTTTTTCCCGTTTTTGCCATGAAAATAGCCTAAGATGCTGACATGGCATTAAATAAAATGGTTTGCATAAGTATGTAGACATGAAGCATATTCTCAGACAGTTTGCAGACGCTGCTTACACTCATCACTCTTACCATCATTCCTGTTCTTTTTGTCACTTTAACTTCGTGTCACTGATTCACTGATGTATTCTCAGCGCGTGTGCCTGTGTGTGTCTCTGTGAGTGTGTGTGTGTGTGTGTGTGTCTCTGTGTGTGTGTGTGTGTGTGTGTGTGTGTTTGTGTGCGTGCGCGTGCAAGTGTGTGTGTGTGTCTCTGTGTGTGTGTCTCTGTGTGTGGGTTTGTGAGTGCGTGTTTGTGTGCGTGCGAGTTTGCATGTGAGTGCCTGTGTGTGCGAGTGCAAGTGTGTGTGTGTGTTTTCTGACAGCTGACGGTGTTTGTTTTGCAGACGGCGAGGTGGAAGGTGACGTCTAAGGAGGCTCTTCAGCGCATCGGCGAGTATTCCGAGGCGGCCATCACTATCCGAGGAACATACTTCCCACCGGGCAAAGAGCCCAAAGAGGGAGAGCGCAAGATCTACCTGGCCATCGAGAGTAAGTGTGCTCGCCGGTTCCCAGAGCACCGCTGGTCTTCTCGTGTCACTAAAGCAGTCTGTGTTGTTGTCAGGTGCGAATGAACTGGCCGTGCAGAAGGCCAAAGCAGAAATCACACGGCTGATCAAAGAAGAGCTGATCCGTCTGGTGAGTTCATCCTCACTGATCCTTTCTGAACTAGCGCAGTCTCATTCTGAATCATCTTTCTCTCTGCTTTCAGCAAAACTCCTACCAGCCCACCAGCAAGAGCCGATACAAGGTTCTGTAGCCGAAGGCGGAGGACAGGCGACCGCTGGCGTTTCTTACTTTATCCCACAATGCTTTCTGTTATGTGAGCTTCATTTATCTGGACGTTTTTACCTATTGTTTCTTGTAGTTTGCATCAGTTATGTTGAATGTTTTAGAAAATTCCATGTAATTGGACAGTGAACGTCATTTGGAAATAAAGTGTTTTTTCCTTGTGCTCTGTCCGTATGATTCTGTAATATCAGTCATTTCTCCTCAAGCTTTTCACAGTTTTTACTTTTACATTTGTGATTTACATTCGGTCATTTAGCAGACTCTTTTATCCAAAGCCACTTACAAATGAGGACAATAGAAGCAATCAAAACAATAAAAGAGCAATGATATACGAGTGCTATAACAAGTCTCAGTTAGCTTAATGCAGTACACGGAGCACGTATATAATAAAAAGAAAACGGATTAGAAAAAGAATAGAGAGAGTACTGAGCCCTGAGGCACCCCAGTAGCTAGATGCTGCGACTTGGACACCTCACCTCTCCAAGATACCTTGAAGGACCTATGAGGACAAAGGAGGGAGGAAAATGTTTTAAAGAGCATGCAAGAGTTGACGAATTGTTAATTTTGTTATGATAGTATGTTCTTTTAGCCGTGGAGACATTAGCAGAGAAGGAAGACAGGAGTGACTGATACACATGAAGGTCAGTAGGATTTTTTTGATTTGCGCTGTACTCTTTCTGCAGCCCTGAGCTTAGAACGATGTTGATTTGAGCTTTCAGATGTTTTTAAAAGGAATAGTTCACCTGAAATTAAACTATGCTGACTATTTACTCACCCTCAGGCCATCCCGTTATAAATCTCAAGACGTTTTGCTTTAGTTGGGACATTTGCATATCCGCATTATTTTTGATGTAATGTGCGAGACTTCAGGTGTAAGGAAAATTAGTAGCTTTTCCTTAAACTCATAAACCCCCTGCAGCTCCTTCACAAACCCAGTTTGGGAAACCTTGATGTAATATAATGTTTAATGCACTTCATTAAGTTGACAACAATTGGAATATGTTTGTATTTGTATTTTTACATCAGTATGGTACAATGCTATTTAAATCAATGTGATAAACGACTTAGGTCAAAAGTAATCTGGAAGTAATCTAATTACATAACCTTAAATGTGTAATGTTATGGATAACGTTACAATTTTTGTCATGTATTTTGGAATCAGTAAAGGATTACAATTTGTAAGTAATCCACCCAGCTCTGGTGATTTTACTGATTAACTGCTGGAAAAAAAGCAAGCAAAATAAGGTGCATCTATAAAAATGTAGCGTTGTAATGTAACGAGTGTCATCGATCAATCTCAGCGCTGGTGTAACTGCTGCAGCGCAAACGGCTGTGATTGGTCCATCCTGCGCAGCGCGGAGTAAAGTAACAGCTCTCAGCAGCGTCTCTGCGTCAGTCTCAACAATACTATGCGTCCGAGTAACAGCACGCACAGACGCGTTCAAACGCTGATTTGGAGCTAAAGAGTGAAGACTTGAACTAGAAGAAGTATTATCTATATCCATCGTGTCAGATGAATTCTACTCTCCCTCGCTGTCAATGCAGCTCAGTGCGCATGCGCGTTATCCTTTTGATTTATTAATATTTAATACCAATGGCTGACGCTGATTTCTAAAGCATCTCCTAAAATTACGAAGAACGCTTTGACACGTTTTCTGAACATCGAGGTGAACGTCAGTCTCTTGTGTTTTATTCGACGAGCTTCGATCATAATCGGTCATAATTCATCTGTAGCACCAAAATGGGACAAAAATGTCACATTTAACCCTTTGCGCTCCAGTGTCGACATCACCGCGAGGTACAGTCACTGATCGTCTCTTTACACCCCATGCTGTTTCTGCAGCTGTGCATGCACTGAACGCTGTTTTATAACAAACCTTTTATTTCTTTTATTATTTTCTCTCTCTCTGTTATTTGTTGGAGGATGAAGGGCTTGGTCATGAGTGAGAGTTGTGTGCCTCCTGTATGATCTTCATGTCACAGTTAAAGCGATGCATGCTAATGTAGCCCTGACTGAATATTATAAGAGCTTCTGAAACATGCATTCACACACAGAGAGAATATTTCATGAAGAGCTCCAGCTGCTGAGTTTAACACCAAACACTTGAAGATCCGTGAAATCAGTTTCTGTGATGATGATGATGATGATGAAGATGAAGATGCATCCTGAAAGTTGATCATTCTGACTGCTCATTAAGGCAGGACACTATACAGAGTCAAACGTTGAATATGCAAATATGGCATTATCTGATTACATATGCTCATATTTGAGAACAGAAGTCTAAATCTAGGATAAAGCCATGTTCGTAATTCTTGTTTTGTTGACATGTATTAAAGGTTTTTCCAGAGTGCATTTTGGATTTCTCTTTTTAATCACTCCATAAATCAGAAAATACTGTCAACAGACAGAAAACAAACATGTTTTTATCAGTAAAGTGCTGCGTGGATCAGTGTGAACGAAATACGAACAAACCTTCAGAACATAGAGAGGGATAAAACTGTAAAGTTTGGTGTTTGTTAGAGAACAAACCCTTTAAAGGGGTCATGACATTGATTTTTTTTATTATTTTAATATGTTCCTTAAGGTTTACTTATAATGTTAATAACGTTTTTTGCATAAATAAATAAATATGTGGGAAAATGATAATTTTCAACCCTCAATCTCTCTCTGAAACCAGCTGTTTTTAGGGGCGTGTCCTTTAAGGCTCGTCAGTAATCAGCGCTGTTATGATTGGCTAGCATCACTGCATAGGAAACGGTATCAACGCCCCTCACTATTGCGTGTTTTGACAACATGATCAAAATAAAAGGGTCATTTCCAGATGAAGCTTTATGAAATCCTTTGCTTACGGTTTGTGATGCAGCTGCGGACAGATCTAGTCCCGCTTCATCTCTCAACAGATGTTTCTTTGTGACTCTCCATGACACTGTGCCTCGATTACAAAACAAAATCCTTCAGTCGGTAGCGACTGAACGCCAGTGGGCGGGGCCTATGCTGAGTAGAAGACTATTGGTCGATGTCTAGCTCTGGAGGCGTGTTTATGCAAATGTTTGTGGTGACGTCATCTTGCCCCTCAGATCCAAACGAGCCGTTTTTGGAGCTCGATTAAATAAATGCTTTGTTTATAACGAGGAGGACGTTTTAAGCTCTGAAAGTTGCAGGATGTTTTAATGGTGCAACGACTCTTAAATGCCAAAAGATCAAGGCAAATTTGATTTCTCGTGTCATGACCCCTTTAAAGATATGGTTTGGGATTGCAACCTAAAGTTGCAAATTGATCAAATAAAAACTTAAATGTGTATTTTGGATGTTTTTTTCCACTAGTCTGAAAAAAACACATTACGAAAATCTAAATCTCAGAAATGACCAGTGCATGAAAAACAAATGTTTTGCCTGTAGTGTCTCGCCCTAAACAGACATAGTTGACCCAGAAGCACAAAACCAGTCATAAGTGTCAATTTTGTTTAAATTGAGATTTATGCATCATCTGAAAGCTGAATAAATAATCTTTCCATTGATGTATGGTTTGTTAGGATAGGACAATATTTGGTCGAGATACAACTATTTGTAAATCTGGAATCTGAAAAAATCTAAATATTGAGAAAATCATCTTTAAAGTTGTTCAAATGAAGTTCTTAGCAATGCATATTACTAATCAAAAATTAAGTTTTGATATATTTATGGTAGGAAATGTACAAAATGTCTTCATGGAACATGAAACAATGGATAATTGTGACCCATACAATGTATTGTTGGCTATTGCTACAAATATCCCTCAGCGACTCAACACTGCTTTTGTGCTGCAGGCTCACATACTGTATATGCGGTTAAAAGCATTAAAAAAGAGTCTGGTTTCATGGGATCTTTATCCTCTCTCTCCTGGCGTCTGTCAGCAGAAGATGATGCGTCAGGGGCCCGGGGCCGGCAGTGATTTCTGTGTGGACAGCAGGCCGTCGTGTTTAGCCGAGGACGGGAGACTCTCGCCGAGCCACTTTGATTTGTGCCCCACCAAGTTCTATCAGTCTTCTCCTCCGCAGCGGCCTCGGCAGATGTGCTTCGCTTACCTGCCTCCTCCAGCCATCCTCAAACCCACGCCGTGCCGCGAGGAGCCACCGCTGTCCCCGGGGCCCGCCGCCGCTCAGGCCAACGACAAGAGCAGCGACTCCAAGAAGAAGAGTGCGTCCGGGAGGTCTGGGAAACGCGGGCGTCCGGCGGGCACCACCAAATCAGCCGGATACAGAACCAGCACAGGCAGACCTCTGGGCACCACCAGGGCCGCTGGCTTCAAGACCAGTCCGGGGCGGCCGCTGGGCACCACCAAAGCCGCGGGGTATAAAGTGAGTCCCGGTCGCCCGCCGGGGAGCATCAGGAGCCAGTCGCGCCTGAGCAAACTGAGCTACAGCGCCTGCAGCGGAGCCGCGTTTCCCTACAGCATCATGCACAAACCTGGAGCCTGTGACGCTGCGCTGAAGGAGGAGACGACCACAGAGTAACAGCACCCGTCACTCCTCACATTACATTAAAGCAGTAGCTCAGCCTAGACATTTCTACAAATCTGATGAAGAAACAAACTCATCCTGATCTCAGATGGCCTGAGGGTGAACACATTTTCAGCACATTTTCATTTTGGCTGAACTATTCCTTTACCCTTAATGCATCCTTGATCAAGCTTTCTGCTTCTGTGTGTAACACAAAATGCTGTGTTCAAGTCAAGTTGTAAAGATTGTATTTACGAGTTTATCGCACATGGACACCACTGCAGTGTTGTGAATATAAGTGTGAAAATAGAATCTTCCTCTAATCCCTGAATTCAGGATTTACATTTAGTCATTTAGCAGACGCTTTTATCCAAAGTGACTTACAACTTATAATTAAATTATTTGTTCAATTTAAATTAAATTTATAATTAAACTTAAAAATCTAAGTCAAATGTACAAAACAGAAGTATTGAACAATTAATGAAGTTCCAAACGTAGGTTCAGGAGGAGCCTAATCATTCAGTCCTGTCAATCATCATCACGAGCCTCTATAAGCAGTAGTCCCAGCACCCCTCCACCTCCCCAGCTCCTCCTGCATTTCTGTTATTCTCTCTCTGGGCAGAACCGCTATGGGGGGTTGAACTCAGCTCTAAAGCCGAGCCTCGGGTTCGAGCCTC